TCGGATTGTGGTGATGAATAGTTCGTGACTCAGAACACATTTTGTAATCAGTCTGATGTGGTTGTGAACTCTGATTTTGAAACATTGCTTTATATGGATAACTTTCAAGAAGATTATTGTCAGAATTTTTAATTAGGCCGGTTATTTTCTGATGAGAACACTGACACTGAACCGTATAATACAAGTCAGGATAACTTTGATGATAATTGCGACACCGAACTATACTTGGCAAGTCAGATGATAGAAGAATCAGGAATTATTGGCACACGTGTGTCTGAGAGACAGTTAGATTCCGAAATACTAGATTCGTTAAAAGGTGACAATGAACGTTTTGAGAAAGCCGTACAGGTTACACAGTTGGGAACCAATCTAGACAATGAAAAGTTTCGGTTCGGTACTCCCCTTTTTGAAACGGATATGGTGCATTTGTGCGATTCGGCATACTCTGTGAACACTGAACATAAGAGTAGATGGGCTTTGAATATTTTCAAGAATTGGGTTGTTGAGAGGCAAAAACGCAGTAATAATGAAATTCCAATAGCAAATCAAAACATAGTATCGTTAGCTGAAGACGAAAATGATCTGAACAGAACATTGATGTTATTTCTGTCGGAGGTTCGAAACCAAAAGCGTGAACAGTACCGCGGCAACACTCTGTACGAAATTGCGTCTTCTCTTCAGTATTACTGAAGAAGGAATGGGGTTGTCGTCAATTTCTTCGAGTCATCTTGTTACACCGGTATGCGATCCGTTCTTGATGCAAAGATTAAATTACTAGCTCGAAAAGGGATAGGGGTTGAAAAACGACAAGCGGATGTCATCACTGAACAGCAGGAAGATGTACTTTGGGAAACAGGTATACTCGGAGAAGATACAGCACAGAAGCTCTTGGACACCCTCGTCTATTTAATCGGGTTGAACTTTGCTCTTAGGGCAGGAGATGAAAACAGATACCTACGCAGTGGTTCAAATTCACAGTTACAGTTGTTGATGTCAAGCAATGGCGTCAAACAATTGAAATATACTGAGGACATTTCCAAAACGAACAGAGGGGGCCTGAAGCACAGGAAGGTTGAAAGGAAACACGTGACCATCTCTAGTAATGAGGAAAACCCTGGAAGATGCCTCGTCAGACTGTACGAAAAGTATATGTCATTAAGGTAAATATAATTCTCTCACAAGTTCACAACTAATATTGTGAAAAGGAAGAAGTAGTTCTTATGCGACGTTTGTGTCTGCTAGTTGTACCTGTCTGTCAGTCTGCGAGTTCTACCTGTCTGTCAGTCTGCGAGTTCTACCTTTCTGTGTAACGTAATGTGCACCTGATTAACATATTTGGGATGACTTTACCTTACGTTCTAATGTTCTTATGCACTATGTACTTTACACGGTCAGCTGCATGAATTGATGACAGTTCACTTTGTTTTCAGACCAGTACATGGAAAGTGTGACGCCTTCTATTTGCGCCCGTTACGATACACTGCAGGCAAGGTTTGGTTTGCTGATGCGGCCGTTGGGATTCATCCACTCCGGTCAACTGTCAGCCGTCTCTGTAAGGCCGCTGGGTTCAGCGGATTTTACACAAATCACTCCCTCAGAGCTACAACAGCAACTCGGCTTTACGACAGCGGAGTAGACGAACAGCTGATTGCCGAGAAGACGGGACATCAATCGATTGCAATTCGAAGTTACAAGGTATAAACTTTACCTATACGTTTGTGTATTTCCCACAATTCTTAAATGTGGTATATGGCGTTTTCTAATCTGCTTGTAGTTGCAACATTACCGTGGATGTTAGAGGACGCGATAATGCATTTTGGCAATCGCCAGACTTCGGATCAACATTCCCGGGGTTCGAATCCCAAATAATATTTCTTTATATTCAGTGGTCACACCCAGTGTCAGTATACTATATATATCTCGGAACTGCTATTTTTTGCGTTACAAGCCCCTGTTGTACTACTAAAACTAAGATGACGAGGAAATAAAAGTTGCATTTTGATATAATGCCAAATTAAATGTTTATGTGATATAATCAAGCAAAATAAGCTTTTCTTTTATCAGAGGACGTCCAAGGAAATGGCGGATACAGTAGACTCAATCGTGCAGAGAAAATCAAGACGTCCCAGTGCTTCTGTAACTGGCCCCCCTGTTATTGACGCCGCAATCTTTGATCCGCCAGGCAATCAACCATCGACAAGACCGACGCTTGGCCCATCAAAAGGCGAACAGGCTCCCTACACAAGTGACAGACGCGATTTCACAATGAAACTTGGTGACGGCACAACATTTTCTGTGAAATTTTGAATTTATGTTATGTTACCAACTGCTTAACAAAATAATTGCTCTAATTTATATACATTCAAGAGGTTATTATCCAGTCAAAACACGAGGTATCTTAAAAACCTATCGAGATTTATTGATGAAATATTTAAAGCAGTAAGAAAACACAAAACAGAAAAGATATAACATATTCATGCATGACATTCTGTCATCTTGTCACATATTAATACTTTGTTTACATGCTTGTACTTTTGTACTCTTTTGTACCACCGACGGTGGTTTGGAGAATAATAAAGTGAAACTGAAACTGTAACTGGCCCCCCTGTTATTGACGCCGCAATCTTTGATCCGTCAGGCAATCAACCATCGACAAGACCGACGCTTGGCCCATCAAAAGGCGAACAGGCTCCCTACACAAGTGACAGACGCGATTTCACAATGAAACTTGGTGACGGCACAACATTTTCTGTGAAATTTTGAATTTATGTTCAGCATAAATATTTCTGAAATCATTTGTTTTGTTGTCTTTGTCTTATAATATACGTAGACTGTCAGTTTGTCTCTCCCGAAACAAACCTACCACCTGCATGACTGAAAACGCAGAGCTTGTGCGTTACTAATGTACTGTAAATTATTCAACTATTGGAGGTTGAACTGTTTGAGGTTATCTGTAAATTATCTCAGTAATGAAGGATGTCGTCCACTATTGGGGCCTCCTAAAATGACTAATGTTCATGTAGCTTTGTTTTAATAAAGAAGTTGTTCATCCATAGAACTTGTCTTACTTCTATACCGAAACGTCGCCTTTTACAGTATTAAAGAAGTTGTTATCCATAAAAATTGTGTCTATCGTGTCTTACTTCATCACACCAACTTCTAAATGCCACTGAAAGAAGTTCCTTAGTGATGCAATTATGCTTGTCGACACCACTCAGGTCAAGGAAGTTAATTCCTCGTGAAAGGGAAACGACACTCCAACTTTAACAGTCGGCTTCCTTAAGGGTCGTTTTATTGGGGTAAATACACGAATATTACTTGGAGTGGCTCTAAGAAAAATTCAAATGAACATTTATGTCCACATATACCATTGCACTGGTCCAAAAAACCTTTTGAAAATCTAGGCATTATTTTCTCGACGAATCTACATGATATGATTTCTATAAATTACGAAAAACAGATGAACAAAACTAGGACAATACGTTTTACTTGGCAAAAGAGACAAATAACTCTACTGGGTAAAATAATCTTTTTTCAGCCCTCCCAAACGCAAGTGAACAATTTTTCAAGAAGCTTCACTCCTTACTATTTCGATATTTTTGGAATTGGAAACGTGATTGAATTAACCAGAAAATGATAATAAATGATTAAAAGAGTGGCGGATTACAAATGATCGCCATTGTATCCTTCTGTAAAGATAAAAAAAAAGGACTAAAAAAATATCGTTTTCCCTAGATATTGGAAAAAGTGAAGATGAATTATGCTCGTTTTGCAATAAAGAACCTTAAACCCGTGTTCTCAACTCAAGTGATCGCGTCAGTTTGTCCAAGGTGTTTCAAACAGGTGTTTTAAAAAAAAATCCATTGAGTTAGATAACAATGAGCAAAGATCAATCAACTTATTAGGGGATAATCCTTTGAACAAAGTATGTTGTTTTCACGTTGGCACTTCAAGCCCAGATTTGGATGTATTCCGTTGGCCTTAGTAAACATACATAGTGTAAACACGTCCTTTTGACAAATCCACTGTGCAAGATTACAGAAATTATCAATCAACGTATTATCGGTTAATCCTTTGATCAATGTTTCTGGCATCTCAACTGAAAATTCCTCTCTTGCTGCTCTGCCACGTGCAAATTACATGTCATGTTACCCATTCACCACATCAGACCTGGATTTACAACCCGATCTTAGATTAAGTAATTACTCGAGAGACGAGACGAGCATAGCCTTTGTCGGGTAATACGAGTGGTTCTAACACTAATTATACTTGTAGTTTTAAAATCCTTAACTGAGCATCAAGTGAATGATGACAAATACAGAGGTGTAGGGTTTAGGCCATGAAACATGCATGACATGGAGGGAGTAGTAATTGTTATATTATATGCAATTTGCCTGACATGTTGTTGCTGGTTTTAGTATATGAACTTAGCTTCGTTGTGGCAAAAATAATACGCATAGGTATTTGCTTTGTACTAAACTACATAATTGTACATGCTCATTTACACACGCAAACGAATTTGCAAGGTGAAATGTTTAACTATGCATAATCCATTCGCGAATATTCAAGGGAATTCCCCCTCGCTGGCGTCCTCCCTCGCAGGTCCGAAGCCAAGTTTGTTGGGTCGCTGACGTGAATTGGCATCTGGTGATTAGGCCGGATAATTAAAACGGCTCCAGCTAGACAACTGAGAGTTGGAGTATTGTTTCCCTCTAAGCGTTAAATCAAACATATTTGCGGTCGTGCGAAACATGTACAATTGCACGTGTAAGAGAAATTATAAATTTTAATATAAACAAAACACACACAGATTATGTGACAACACTGCACTTTCAAATTAGTCCGTACATCCTGTGATACATTCCATCCTTAGAAACCATATCCGGTCACGTGGGCAAGATGAGAATTCAAAACATGTCAGTGTTGTTGTCAAGCTGGAGTCAAAGGTCATGGAGAAAGGTGGACCAAACCAGCCACGGCTGTGCAGTAAGGGTACTTACATAATTTTGCAGATTCCCAACTTTATTGTCGTCGTCGTTTGTTCTCTGGCCTTCATCAATATTTTATCAATGACCTGAAATGTAAAGTGCCATCAAATAAGACATTTGTAATCAATTTTGCTACTGCATGAGACATGTATGGAGGATGTTCTATATAAAACACGCAGTCCTATGAGAAATATTGTAGCTCCTAATCGTGATAAAAGGGAAATACATGTAGTTTTACACTAACAAGGCAAAAACCTTTTCAATGAAATGGTCGAATTTTTTTTCTCAACGGTTTCAAATGAAACATTATGTATTGAATCGTATCGCCAAGTACACTGGAATTTCTTACCGAAGCGCAACTCAGTTCAAACTCCCCCTTGTGTGATCTTTCCCGTGCAGCCGAAACAAGGCACAAAGTCGCGTTTTTTCCCATTTTAAAATACATGTATGTCGCAATAACAGCTTTCTATATGACTCAACAGGAAGCAGATGTTTCCATGACCTTTTGAGATGAATTGACTTAGTTAACCTTTAAGTGTTAGGCACTGTGTACTGTTCACTGAAGCAAGAAATTCAACAATCCATCCATATATCTACGTTAGTACCAAACTAACAAATTTTGTGTGCCTTTTTGTTGTATACATGTCATATACTTTTTCAAACATAATCTCATTTTACGTTTTGAGGTTATGGGTGGCCCAGTCGTCTCAAAAACTAAATTCGCCGTGAAGAGTTGTCAGACATACCGGTACTCAGACACCCAGTTGTCAGACAAATCAGTACTCAGGCACCCAGTTGTCAGTCACACCTGTACTCAGACACCCAATTCGCAGATATACCAGTAGTCAAACAGCCAGTTGACAGACATACCAGTACTCAGACACCCAGTTGTCAGAATACCAGCAGTCAGACACCCAGTTGTCAGACATGCATGTATCAGTACTCAGACACCCAGTTGTCAGACACCCAGTTGTCAGACATACATGTACAGTCGTGCCCCGCTTATACGGACTTCAGATATCCGGAAACCTCGGTACCCGGACGATTTTCATTCAAAACGAAATAATTACTATTTAAACTTACCCGTATATACGGAAATTCAGTTTCCGGAACCGGACGGTCATTTTCATACACAAAACACTGAAATGCACTCAAAATTGTCTCACTTATCCGGACAGTACACTTCCGCTGGTGGTAATCCTTTGATTCGTGAGAAGTCAATTAACCAAGTGACACTGAGTTACGTTTGAGACGAGCTTGTTTATTGTACATGTAATCCCCTTCGATAAATATGGCGTCTGTGGAGGTCAGAGGTCAAAGTTGACCTTCATTACGTATTACGAGAACATTACGAGGCATTGTTTTATATCTAGGGATTAAGATTACCTTGTGTATTTTCTCGTAAACTAATCCGGAAACAGCAATCAGCTGTACACACGTTTCTTTGGAATCGACCGGTGATTCGGTAAAGACACACCCAATGATATAACTTTATAGGATTTTTAATGCAAGGATCGGCAACAATTGTATCTGAAACTATTTTTTTTTATCAGGAATAATATATTCCATTATTTTCTTAATTATATGCAGCCTTTACTAAACATATTTAAAATAATAATAACCCTAAGCGAAGCAGCTGATCGCTATTCTCGGGTATTATTTTTTACATGGAACCAGTCTGACCAGTCGCCGTCAAGGCTTACGCGCACGTGATCGCGTGATCGTGAGAATTTCATGTTGACATAGAATCGTCAAACAAAAACAAATATGACTTTTTTCGAGTCAAAGTATGTCATTTATGATATATGTATCCATTCTCTGTCAACTAAAGTTCGTTTCAAGGCGTCAATAGCGGTATTCTGACCGTGGTTGCTGTTAATAACGGTGAGTTGTGCGATCTTCCGATCGCTTCACACACGATTTCGCCGAAATTAATAAAAACAACATTATAAGGAATTTTGTCATGAGTTACATAATTGAAGGGAAGTAACTCTTCCAGTAAGAAGCTGGTTTCAGTTATACGGAAATTCGTTTATACGGACGAATTGTGAAATGACGCAAGTGTCCGTATAAACGAGGCACGACTGTACCAGTACTCAGACACCCAGTTGTCAGATATACCAGTACTCAGACACCCAGTTGTCAGACATACATGTACCAGTACTCAGACACCCAGTTGTCAGATATACCAGTACTCAGACACCCAGTTGTCAGATATACCAGTACTCAGACACCCAGTTGTCGGACATACCTGTACTCAGACACCCAGTTGTCAGACATACCAGTACTCAGACACCCAGTTGGCAAATGTTCCAATAGTCACAAGTGCCAGTAGTCAGACACCTAGCCCTCAAATATACCAGTCGCCATACACCCAGTTGTCAGACATACCAGTACTCAGACACCAAGTTGTCAGATATCATGAGATATGCAGCAAGTTTGCTTTCACACACACTCTGTTCATCATATCATCACTTGATTTGGCGCCGGAGCGGACTTCCCGAGAGTGCACTTTCCGTGTTTGCCAGAGCGTCACGACCGGTTCGGTGGCCGTGATAAGATCCTTATAAGGTAGATTTAGTGCAGATTGAACACATGGTCAGTGCAGATTGGGCACATTGTAAGTTCAGATTGGACACATGGTAAGTGCAGATTGGACACATGATAAGTGCAGATTGGACACACGTTCAGTGCAGATTAGACACATGGTAGGATCAGACTGGGCACATGGTAAGTGCAAATTGGGCACATGGTAAGTGCAGATTGGACACATGGTAAGTGCAGATTGGGCACATGGTAAGTTCAGATTGGACACATGGTAAGTGCAAATTGGGCACACGTTAAGTGCAGATTGGACACATGGTAAGTTCAGATTGGGCACATGGTAAGTGTAGATTGGACACATGGTAAGTGCAGATTGGGCACATGGTAAGTGCAGATTGGACACATGGTAAGTGCAGATTGGGCACATGGTAAGTTCAGATTGGACACATGGTAAGTGCAAATTGGGCACACGTTAAGTGCAGATTGGACACATGGTAAGTTCAGATTGGGCACATGGTAAGTGTAGATTGGACACATGGTAAGTGCAGATTGGGCACATGGTAAGTGCAGATTGGACACAGGGTAAGTGCAGATTGGGCACATGGTAAGTCCAGATTGGGCACATGGTAAGTGCAGATTGGGCACATGGTAAGTGCAGATTGGGCACATGGTAAGTTCAGATTGGGCACATGGTAAGTGCAGATTGGACACATGGTAAGTTCAGATTGGGCACATGGTAAGTGTAGATTGGACACATGGTAAGTTCAGATTGGGCACATGGTAAGTGCAGATTGGGCAGATGGCAAGTTCATATTGGGCACATGGTAAGTGCAGATTGGGCACATGGTAAGTGCAGATTGGGCACATGGTAAGTGTAGATTGGACACATGGTAAGTGCAGATTGGACACATGGTAAGTGCAGATTGGGCACATGGTAAGTTCAGATTGGACACATGGTAAGTTCAGTTTGGGCACATGGTAAGTGTAGATTGGACACATGGTAAGTGCAGATTGGGCACATGGTAAGTTCAGATTGGGCACATGGTAAGTGCAGACTGGACACATGGTAAGTTCAGATTTGGTACACGTTAAGTGCAGATTGGACACATGGTAAGTGCAGAATGGGCACACGTTAAGTGAATGTTGGACACATGGTAAGTGCAGATTGGGCACATGGTAAGTGGAGATTGGGCACATTGGTGCGTAGTGATTGGACACATGCTACGTGATACTTTATACATTCCACGTGTGGATTTGACACATGGTTTGTTTGGTACATGGTGAGCGACTTATTACCACGTACATGTATTACATTCTAATTTGGCACATATGCGTTTGTAATGGCCACAGGTACTTTGTATTGGGCACACGTGCGTTTGTATTGGGCACACGTGCGTTTGTATTTGGCACACGTGCGTTTGTATTCGGCACATGGGCGTTTGTATTGGGCACATGTGCGTTTGTATTCGGCACATGGACGTTTGTATTGGGCACATGTACGTTTGTATTGGGCACACGTGCGTTTGTATTTGGCACATGGACTTTTGTATTGGGCACACGTGCGTTTGTATTGGGCATATGGACTTTTGTATTGGGCACACGTGCGTTTGTATTGGGCACATGGACTTTTGTATTCGGCACATGTACGTTTGTATTCGGCACATGTACGTTTGTTTTCGGCATATCAACGTTTCTATTAGGCACATGTGTATTTGTATTGAGCATTTGTACGTTTGTATTGGGCACATGGACGTTTGTATCGAGCACATTGTACTTTCACTGTGCTACTACACTGATGTTTTTCATAATATCACAATAATGTCGTTATTGATATGATATCAGTAATAATCGTGATATATTTTTTTAATTTCTTACCCTGACAAGGGTGAAGCATGGAACAACTCGTGATCGATAACCGTTTTTTTCTGTTATGTTATGTTATAACCCTACTGCACAACACTGTATGTTAAGCAATCAAGGTGTGCACAACTAATTATTCTCTCAAAGAGACATAATGATTTGCCAAAAAATAGACGTTATGTTAAGCTTGTCAGATTTTTTTATTACCCATATGCTCATATGTCTGTTACAAGCATTATTTCCCAAGGTCGTTCCCAGCAGGTTAGTGAGTAACGGGTGTATTCTACTAAAAATGTTATAAGTTGATAACATAGCAAGAATTATACAAACTGTAAAATTAATATGCCTTTAATTATCCGACATTATTCAGTTCGGCATGCCATTGTTATCTTACATTTTAATAAAACAGGCTTGTGCACAACTGTGTCATAAAACATACATTTTGGCAAACATGAAATACTGGCATTGTCCCATACAACAGTAATAACATACAGCTACATTCCAGTGGTACCGTTTAATGGAACCAAGAATACCGATAGCGTCATTGCTGTTCAAACGTCTCGGTAGGGTTATCTTCAATGCGTGGACTGCTTCTGTAGATGAAGGCAACAATCCCACTAGCTCTGTGTCGCTGCCGTTCTCGTGTCCCCGTTACAGACATAATGAGTCAATAAACACAAATAATGTCTCACGGTTCTGACACTGCAATCTAATGTTTGTTTACATTAGGATCTAATTTGCAGACAAACTGCATGACTAACCAGCGTCATAAACGTGCAATGGGTCCACCAAAGGATACACGTCTGAGAGCTTTCGCACGCGTTATGCTAAAACGCCAATCCTCTTCACTTCACTTCTACTCACTCACTCACTCACTCAATCAATCACTCACTCACTCACTCACTCACTCACTCACTTGGATGCCCATTCTTAAAAGTTTGTCACTCACCTTAAAAAATATATGAAATTTTGATTCAAGACATTATATCCTGCAATTTGGCGGCATGTTGCCGCCGGTATTCGCTGTGCGGAGATGTGTTCATCATAAAACGTTTTACATAATCTATGTACTTATGTACGAAAGCCTAATGTGCCACTTTGGTAGCATATTGGTAGCATTTGGTAGAATCTTGGTAGCATATATATATTTCTTTAAATCGAATTTCCACGTTATTTAAATTAATTGTTTATTTTCTCAAAATTTTGAGTTTTTTCTTGTACTTTCGATAAATTTATCGTTATTTCAAATTTATTTCAAAACTCGAAATTTCGACTTTTTTCTCGTTGCATTGAGTTTTTTTTCTTTATTACGATTAATTTCTCGTTATTTCAATTTTTTTCTCGTTGCTTCGAGTTTTTTCTCGTCACTCCGATATTTTCTCGTTATTTCAATTTTTTATAGAAAACTTGAAATTCGAGAAAATAATTGAAATAACGAGAAAATAATCAGAGCAGCGAGAAATAATTCGAAATTTTGAGAAAATAATTGAAATAACGAGAAATTTCGATTAAAAAAACGAATGCCACCAAAGTGGAGTAGAGTTTTGCTGACTTGACCCTGTCTAGCAATCCGTGCTCATTAACCACGGTTACCATAGATAACTCACCTTGACATGTAATGCAAAGAGAAGTGTTGATACCCTCATCATTCAAATGATGGAATGGGCTGTCCAGTCGTCTTAGGCCCCGCATGTCCTTTGGCAGAGTTGTGTCTCTTAGGCGTGCCAGAAACCTATGATCGTGGGTTCGAATCCCAGTTATAAGCACCACATCCGTGCTCGTGGGTTTCACCATTGTAGTAAGCGTCTAAGACCTGCATCACTTTGGGCTTTTCTCCCATATCAAGCACGCTGTGAAATACCTTTCAAAGCGAAGATAAATCAAACACTCGATTGTTATGAGATCAGTTCTTATTTCTTAAAAGGTCTTGAATGGGGCATGAATGTTCATCTGTGCTTTTACATGGGTGATCAATCAATTGTCGGAAAATTTAAACGTGTCAAATGTTTGGTTTCAAAGAAATGATTAAGCGTGACAACACTGGGCACGTAAAATCAAAACAATGATAAAAAGGTTACGATACATAATGTACACTGAAAAAATGTATGGTTTGCAGGAAATATTGTTGTTTGGTACAAAGGATAATATAACCCCCAGTTCCTGCCAATAAGTGAAATACAACCATAATAGGTACAATTTGTGAAGTCCATTTTAGGTTTTCCGAGGTGGTATATTGCTGGAATATTCCAAAAGGCGGCGTAAACCTATACTCACTCTTGAAAAAAACACAAAACACGTCAAGTAATAAGCAAAATAGGTTTATTGTAAAGAAAATAAAAAGAATATATATATATATATTCTCGTGAACACATCTTTGCAAAATACTGATTGGTCATATGTTTCTATTAAACATCGATACAAATGATATACAAAATGGAATTTGTTTTCTATTCTGTTCACTTAGCGAGTGATAAAAGACATGTATGTATATACGAAGGGTGGTGTCAGGTTTCAAGGTTGACTAGAGGAGGTATTGTTTCAAGGGGAAATGCATATGGTTGAAATGCCGATTACATAAAGCAACACGAGTCAATATCTACAAACTACGAGTCGACACACGGAAACTCTGTTTATTCTCCGGGTGTGAAAACTATTCAATCTAAAACTACAGACCAATCTCATCACAGGTATAAGAGTAAAATTACTTACGAATACGGTTATCAGATTCAAGCGTCCTATGTTGTGACCAATATGCTTTTATGTACTCGCAAAAAATTCAAAATTGAAATACAGAAATTGTAAAAAGCACCAATTCAAAGTGAAATACGCATCATCAAGCGATTAAGGAATCTGAACACTTTCAGGTGGGTTTGTTAATACTGTAAAACACCGTTACACTGTACCGAGTTACGTCCCTTCAGTTATACACAGGGGCGGTTGGGTAGCCTAGTGGTTAAAGCGTTGGCTCGTCAAGCCGAAGACCCGGGTTCGATTCCCGACATGGGTACAATGTGTGAAGCCCATTTCTGGTGTCCCCCGCCGTGATATTGCTGGAATATTGCTAAAAGCGGCGTAAAACCATACTCACTCACTCACTCACTCAGTTATACACATACTGGTATATCGAAGTACCCACCAATAAGCTACTTGAAAAAGGGGCTTCCTGACTAGCAGGGGGTCACTTCAATGGTACAAAGGTTTAATGCATAACCCATAACAGATAAACATTGCACATACGTCACTGAGATTCTGACGAGACAGGGGTCTAAGCCACAAAAGGCGGAACGAGATGCAGGAAGACTATTCTAGGTCTAGAGCCAATGTAAGTAGTGTCATGTGACATTGGTTCATTGTATTTAGGGTAAACATCAAGTCCAAGATATATATACAGCATGAAATGTGAAGTAACAGACAGGTGAAGCAGTGTTGGGACTACTTGAATCAGACTTGCTGGGACTGCCATTTTCTCCAAGCGAAGCCCCCTTTAACTGTCACATACGCAACATGAGATACGGTGTAAAATGGTAACACAAGGATATGTTGCTATTTTACGTCAGTAGTAAATAATCACTATCACAGGAAGATGACGATCTGGATCAATCACAAAGGACAAGCATAGAAACATGAACATCGCAATATAAATATATTGTTATGTTTAAGTTTATATATATATATATATATATATATATATATATATATATATATATATATATATATATATATATATATATATATATATATATGAAAATTCACATAATACAGAACAAAAATAAAAATATATCTTTACATAATTTGATATATTTGCATGTACAGTCTTTGATTTACAGCATCAGAAAAAAGTGAAAATGTTGTTTTGTAATTACAAGAAATGAAAGCTTTTTGTGTGTTATAGGGTACATATATTCCTAGAATCTGAGCAGTCGTTATTACATGCAGAACATGACAATTTATTGAAAAAGAAAAAATATTGATGATCTTTTAAAAAAAAATGATATCCTTCCGTTTTGGGCAATTGTGTAAAACCTCTCTGCATTTACACTTCAACATCTTTTAATAAACAGCACCTCAGAGTATAAAGTGTGAAACTATTTCTTGATACAATTATAAGTAAATGCAGTGATGATCTTCCGTGTTGAGCAATGGGGTATCCACTCCATGTACCTACAGGTCAACTTCTTTCAATTTCCTGAGTTGCGTTGTGGCGCCATGTTTCTCATCTGCAATCACCTCCATCTCCATCTTGTCCCTGTTTTCTAGCTCCTGTTTTCTCTGTTCTTTCCTTTCGTACCTTATTTCTCTGTTTTTGATGAAGAGGCGCCACAACTCCTGCACGATGTCCCCCAATACCATGATACTGGAGTTGTTGGCCACCGCTCTCAGAACCAGAACCCCGTCATCCCGAATATAATCATCAATAAACTTGCGACATAGCTCTTTTTCATCGGCAACGTTCACGAACAGGCTCAAATACTTTTCGACGTAACGCACCCGGTTACGCCTAAAGATGAGGTTGTAGCACCACATGAGCGTCGATACTGCGTTGACACAGACGAGGAGCAGCAGCCAGAACCACAGGATAGCAAAGATCTTCTCAGACAACATGTTGATTGAAAGGACGCACTGGTAAGTGTAGGTGAGGATGTTCTGTTGTTGACGTATTTTGACGTCACAGTATGTGACTCTTGGAAACGCCCTGGTTTCCTTGACTTCGCCATCTGCCAGAAGGTTGGTGAACACCAGAACGCCAAAGTTGGTGAAATCGAATCCGAGGAGTGCGTTAAGGAGGAAATATTGTCCAACTGCGTTAGCCAAATATAAAATCTTGGAAAAGAAATACAGTCCAACTAAATATGTTCCATTGCGGGATCCAAGGGGGAAGAATAGGATGCTAAGTCTGGACATCCGGTGGCGCATGCGCGAGAAGATGGTATATCTACGTTCGCGTTCAAAGATAAGCCAGCTGTGAATATAGGCAGCAATGTTGTTGATGGTCGTGGCTCTTTTCTTTGGCTCTGAGTATTGAGTATCCTGTGAAAGGGAGGTAATTTTTTCAATGTTGATCCCGCCGTTGCTTTGGCACAGCTTCCATATCATGTTCGGCATTTTAAACATCAGAGCCTGAAAATATGAATGTTGTTATACGCATTATGACTCGGTAGTGTGCTATTGGGAGGGTGCAGCTTTACAAATTGTCACTTTATAGGTGAGGTGAGGTGAGGTGAGGTGAGGTGAGGTGAGGTGAAAAGGGGTTTAACGTCGCGTCCAGGATGATTGCACTTATGAAGCGACGTGTGTGTGTGTGTGTGTGTCTGTGTGTGTGTCTGTGTCTGTGTCTGTGTGTGTCTGTGTCTGTGTGTGTGTGACCGATGCCGATTTATAGTGCTAGCCCACTGAGATACCATTTAAACAGTATACTGACTCCGAGCCGACCAGTCTTTGTTTTAGTCCCTTAATGCCGAGTGCCAGGCAGGTTAATATTTAACGGTAGGACGCGGCCGGGGATCGAACCCCGGACCTTCCTCTCTCTCTCTCTCTCTCCGAGCGGACGCTCGACCACTAGACCACGGAGGCGGTCCACTATGTAGGACGTAACTTACATATTGTTTGTAAAATAGGACATCGGCATGGAGACTATATTTTATTACATGCATTGCGGTCTGTGTTATTGTGAAATAAAAGAAATCGTGGTAGGCGTCGTTGGTGTCATTATCATCATTAGCTGCTTCATCATCATCATCATCATCATCTTCATCAGTATAATTATCAACGACGAAGACGTTGTGTTCATATTTAATAGCGTTGTAAAGGGGAGGAGAGAGAGTAGATTTGCATATTACGCAATATAACGCAATTTTGATCGCCCCCCATGTCCCCATCCTCGTATAAATTTGTATTATAAAATACCTAGAATGTTTCACGACGGGTGCTATCTGTCCTTGGTTTCATCACTGACATTTAGTTTGGGCCTTAGTTTACATTATTAACTTTAACAGAGATAAATAACCCTTTGTCGTGTTTAGTATCACGTTGGCCGTCAACGTCAAATCTAGCCTTGATGAAGCCTTGATGAAGCCTTGATTTAGCAGGTACCTCAGTCGACAAGTATGATGACATAGGAAAGAAAAAGAGAATAAGAGAAGCATCGAGACTCACCTGGACTAAGAGAATGAGAGGAAGCCATTGGTAGTACTTGAGTTCCCCCTTTAGACGCTCCTTCTCCTCCACGGGGAGGGGATGGGTCAGAGGGGCGTCGTAGGTGTTCTTCACCCAGCAGGCGTTGTGAATATAGTCCGCCTGAAAAAGTAAATGTTATACTTCAGAGGTGAGTTAAAATGGGATTTAACGTCGCGTCCAAGCTTATTGCACTTATATAGCGACTTGCACGTGCGTGTGTGTGTGTGTGTGTGTGCGTGCGTGCGCGCGTGCGTGCGTGCGTGCGTGCGTGCGTGCGTGCGTGCGTGCGTGCTTGTAATGTTCGGACTTCTGTCGGTTTTATAATACTAGCCCTATGAGATGCCATGCCGCAGGGACACCCCACTCAGACACGGTAAAGTGAGTCCTGGCGTTGTTTTAACACCTTACCGTCGGTACCAGGTAGGGTAGCAACAAGTACCATCTTATAGTGTCGTTTTGTATGACGCGGCTGGGGATCAAAACACAGACCTTCTGTTCTATTTTCACTTGACCACAGAAGCGATTCTAACATTTTTAGATGTCTGGGGTGATCAAATACATACACAACCGTATAAACTGACGCCCTCTGATGACGTATACCCGTAAAAATTCACACCCTCTCGGATGGCGTATACCGTACACACTGACCCCCTCTGATGACGTATACCCGTAGACACTGACCCCCCTCCGATGGCGTGAACCCGTTCACACTGACCCCCTCTGATGGCGTATACCCGTAGACACTGACCCCCTCCGATGACGTATACCCGTACACACTGACCCCCTCTGATGGCGTATACCCGTACACACTGACCCCCTTCCGATGGCGTGAACCCGTTCACACTGACCCCCTCTGATGGCGTATACCCGTTCACACTGACCCCCTCTGATGACGTATACCAGTACACGATGACCCCCTCTGATGACGTAAACCCGTAGACACTGACCCCCTCCGATGACGTATACCCGTTCACACTGACCCCCTCTGATGACGTATACCCGTTCACACTGACCCCCTCTGATGACGTATACCCGTTCACACTGACCCCCTCTGATGATGTATACCCGTTCACACTGACCCCCCTCTGATGACGTATACCCGTTCACACTGAGCCCCTCTGATGACGTATACCCGTTCACACTGACACCCTCTGATGACGTATACCCGTTCACACTGACCCCCTCTGATGGCGTATACCCATAGACACTGACCCCCTTCCGATGACGTATACCCGTTCACACTGACCCCCCTCTGATGACGTATACCCGTTCACACTGACCCCCTCTGATGACGTATACCCGTTCACACTGACCCCCTCTGATGACGTATACGCGTTCACACTGACCACCTCTGATGGCGTATACCGTACACCCTGACCCCCTCTGATAGCGTATACCGTACACCCTGACCCCCTCTGATGACGTATACCGTACACCCTGACCACCTCTGATGGCGTATACCGTACACGATGACCCCCTCTGATGACGTATACCGTACACCCTGAGCCCCTCTGATGGCGTATACGCGTTCACACTGACCCCCTCTGATGGCGTATACCGTACACCCTGACCCCCTCTGATAGCGTATACCGTACACCCTGACCACCTCTGATGACGTATACGCGTTCACACTGACCCCCTCTGATGGCGTATACCGTTCACACTGACCCCCTCTGATGACGTATACCCGTTCACACTGACACCCTCTGATGACGTATACCCGTTCACACTGACCCCCTCTGATGGCGTATACCCATAGACACTGACCCCCTTCCGATGACGTATACCCGTTCACACTGACCCCCCTCTGATGACGTATACCCGTTCACACTGACCCCCTCTGATGACGTATACCCGTTCACACTGACCCCCTCTGATGACGTATACGCGTTCACACTGACCACCTCTGATGGCGTATACCGTACACCCTGACCCCCTCTGATAGCGTATACCGTACACCCTGACCACCTCTGATGGCGTATACCGTACACGATGACCCCCTCTGATGACGTATACCGTACACCCTGAGCCCCTCTGATGACGTATACGCGTTCACACTGACCCCCTCTGATGGCGTATACCGTACACCCTGACCCCCTCTGATAGCGTATACCGTACACCCTGACCACCTCTGATGACGTATACGCGTTCACACTGACCCCCTCTGATGGCGTATACCGTACACCCTGACCCCCTCTGATGACGTATACGCGTTCACACTGACCCCCTCTGATGACGTATACCCGTTCACACTGACCCCCTCTGATGGCGTATACCGTACACCCTGACCCCGTCTGATGACGTATACGCGTTCACACTGACCCCCTCTGATGGCGTATACCGTACACCCTGACCCCCTCTGATGACGTATACCCGTTCACACTGACCCCCTCTGATGACGTATACCCGTTCACACTGACAACCTCTGATGGCGTATACCGTACACCCTGACCCCCTCTAATGGCGTATACCGTACACCCTGACCCCCTCTGATGGCCTTTACCCGTTCACACTGACCCCCTCTGATGGCGTATACCCGTTCACACTGACCCCCTCTGATGGCGTATACCCGTTCACACTGACCCCCTCTGATGGCGTATACCCGTTCACACTGACCCCCTCTGGTGACCTAAGGCCAGTGACCACATTACCCACGTACATGGTCGGTATCCTTGGAGATCCAGCACTTGATGGGGCTGCCGGCGAACTGAGTTGTTGTGATGACGAGACAGAAGAATGTGAGGAGGAATGTCGTCCAGTTGTGGTTGAGGCGGTCGGAGAAACCGTCGTCACAGGGAACGCCGACCCCCACGAGGTCTGAGGCCGAGCCGAATAATGATCCGAGCACACTAAGCCTGGTAAACCATCAATAAAAAACAAGGAAATAAAACACATTGTTCTTCACTTTCAAAAGATATCTACACATCCCTCAATATTATTATAAGTTTCCTAATACCCATAAATTGACATGACTATTTTCCCAAAACAGCACAAAACACTTGCGAATTTTTATTGTAGATTAAGCTCTCTTGAAATGAATGAGTTCTAACATGCAAACAATTGGTAAAGAACTATGTTTTAAATTGTTCTATGCATATTTATCTTATTTTAAAAATATATTTTATTCCAGTACCACCGTGGGTTGTTTTGAGTATATAAATGAATGAATAAATGTTACTCAAGTATATACGTATTTGTATTCATCATCTTTTTCATTAATACATAGCTATGAAACATGTAGTTTGAAGTTACTTATTCGAGCATGGCGGATGATATTCGAATGCCCGGATGTTCCAGGTGTCCCGCTGTCTCCGATGTAAATTATAGGGATGTCACGATAAAACTATCTCCCGATACGGCGCGCATCATGATCCTTGTTCACGATACGAATGGGAGGCGATAATTTATTAGCGGTAATTGTGCGTGATTCTTTTTATACCACAGGAAAAAAACACACTTTTAAAACGGCTTGAACTTCCTGAATATCTGGTCTCATATTTGTAGATATATAGGTCTCATTCCAATCAATTTTATTCAAATTTCAGAGAAAACTGTAGTGTCAAAACCAGTTCGAAAAGACTAGAACAGAATGTAAGTTCTATAACTATGTACATTGTACAATGTAAAAAAAGCATAAATTAATAATGATAAAATTGTTTATTAAAATGTGGGTTGAACCCATTTTGCATTGAAGTTTTTAATGTCCCATGGGTGAGTGAGTGAGTTTGGTTTAACGCCGATGTTAACAGTATTCCAGTTATATCACGGCGTGTCAGCTTAATGTGGGAGGTAAGTGATGCAGGTCTCAGACGTTTACCACTTCTGTGAAACCCACGAGCGCGGGTATGGTTCTGACAAACCTAGAAACATAATTAGGGCGAACCGGGATTCGAACCCACAATCATAGGTTTGTGGCATGTCCAATGGACGCAACTTCACAGCGAATCGCGGCGCCTTAGACGACTGGGCCAGCCTTGCCCGTGGTTAAATATGAATACAGGTAAAGGCGTATCGCGTGTCATCTCTGAATATTTTCGATGGATTGGTGAATCTCGACATCCCTAGTGAATAACTATCTTGTAATTCCAAAATGTCTAAATGTTTGAAACGAATTCTAGAAAATATAGCACTGGTAATTCGTGTTTTCCCTTGATATTTCTAATATTAGTGGTTTTCTGAGAAGGGAACGATACGCACATGGCGCACCACCCACTACATTTAAAGTAGGCTAACTATCAATACATTGGAGCTGTTATAAGCGATCGGGAATATTGCTTAACTCAGCGTAAAACCTATACACCCACACACTCCATCGAAAATGAAATGCAAATAAACAGAAATTCTTTGAAAAATTTCATTTTGTTCAGATCACTTGTTTTAATAACAATGGAATGGAAATCACCCTGTCTGGAAATGATTCCGAGATTTTATGAGAAACTAAACGGTTTACGTGCATACTGTCATCACGTTCCTGCAGATACATATCAGGTTCTGACAACGCGGATGCAACACAAGGGACATAACTCCTTAAACGCCCGCGTTATAAATACCAGTCGAGCTTTCTCCCAACAACAACATCGATGATCACTGCTCGAGCGTTTCTACAGGGAAATTTCCTAAGTCTGACGGAAATGTACGAGCCGTGCTGACTGTCATGTGACCTGGTTATTTGAGTCGGCTATTGCAACAGACCCGGACGCTGCTCTTGGACCCCGGAAATCCCCGTTGGACTTGGGAGTGTTATCAGTGACAGTCAACATGACTAAGAACAATGCAACTTTCACACAGTGCGATGCAATAACAACTTCATTCTTTGATAAAATGGATTTTGGGTCCACACGTTATTGAAACTTGCACGTATACATTTGTTAATTTGGTCACGTGACACAATTCCAGCACGAAGGCACGTTTGTTGTTTTAAAAGTAATTGTTTCATTTTTGTATCAAAATGAACATATACATTTGTCAAAATAAGATGGAATAACTTCTGCGTGGTCTCTTTCAGTAATGTTTTGGTGTTTGTTCTAACCTTATAAAAGTGTAAACATTGTTGTCTCCGAAAATAAACAACATGCCTTTTTAGTGTAGTGGTTAAATCCATTTATTGCAAACCCAGTTATACCTTTTGTGCAATGTTTAAGCAAAGACTTATAGATAATCATATACAAGAATGTAATTGTACTATATCTAAATCATCAAATCTGTCTCTTTATTGTAATATCAAAGCTGTTTTGGGTTGCGAAATATACTTAGATATTTTACCTTAAGAAGATATCTTACTTTGAAAATCTGCTCACAAGTTAAAATAGAAACTGGCCGTTATATCAATATAAATAGAAATTGTAGATATTGTGATTTTTGTAAACAATCTAACATTGATGTTATCGGGGATGAGTATCATTTCTTATTTAAATGTCCAAAGTTAAACAATTATAGAGTTAAATATATTACTGCATATTACTTTTAAAACTAAGTAAAGATTAAATGAAAAAGATTCAATATCCCGAAAGGCTGCTAGCCCGTGGACAGTTATATTTGACGCGGACCAGTAATCATTTTGTGTCCTCTGTCCTATCTGCCGAGTACTAGTATTATATTCTAATTACTAATTGTATTAACAGCAGATTGAAACCAACATTTACGTTTTACTGAAACAATGTCATACATGTTCTATACTTTCCTCATAACTACCCGGTACACATGCCTGCGTTCTTTGCTACTAGTACGAGATGATTCATGTGTTCTTTGCTACAAGTACGAGATAGTTCATGTGTTCTTTGCTACTAGTACGAGATAGTTCATGTGTTCTTTGCTACTAGTACGAGATAGGTCATGTGTTCTTTGCTACTAGTACGAGATAGTTCATGTGTTCTTTGCTACTAGTACGAGATAGTTCATGTGTTCTTTGCTACTAGTTCGAGTGCCTGTATTCTTTACTACTAGTTGAGGATAGTGCCTGTATTCTTAACTACTAGTTGAGGATAGTGCTTGTGTTCTTTGCTACTAGTACAGGATAGTGCTTGTGTCCCTTGCTGCTAGTTGAGGATAGTGCCTGTATTCTTTACTACTAGTTGGGAATAGTGTTTCTGTTCTTTGCTATTAGTTGAGGATAGTGTTTGTGTTCTTTGCTACTAGTACAGGATAGTGCTTTTGTTCTTTACTACTAGTTGAGAATAGTGTCTGTGTTCTTTGCTACTACTTGAGGATAGTGCTTGTGTCCCTTGCTACTAGTTGAGGATAGTGCCTGTATTCTTTACTACTAGTTGGGAATAGTGTTTCTGTTCTTTGCTACTAGTTGGGGATAGTGCTTGTGTTCTTTGCTAGTAGTTAAGGATAGTGCTTGTGTTCTTTGCTATTAGTTTATTAGTTGAGGATAGTGCCTGTTTTCTTTGCTACTAGTTGAGGATAGTGCATATATTCTTTACTACTCGTTGAGGATAGTGTTTCTGTTCTTAGCTACTAGTTGAGAATAGTGCCTGTATTCTTTACTACTAGTTGAGGATAGTGTTTCCGTTCTTAGCTACTAGTTGAGGATAGAGCCTCTATTCTTTACTACTAGTTGAGGATAGTGCCTGTATTCTTTACTAGTTGAGGATAGTGCATATATTCTTTACTACTCGTTGAGGATAGTGTTTCTGTTCTTTGCTACTAGTTTAGGATAGTGCTTGTGTTCTTTGCTACTATTTCAGGATAGAGCTCATGTTCGTAGCTACTGGTTGAGGATAGTGCCTGTGTTCTTTGCTTCTAGTTGAGGATAGTGCTTGTGTTCTTTGTTACTTGTACAGGGTAGTGTATGTGTTCTTTGCTACTATTTCAGGATAGTGTTTCTGTTCTTTGCTACTAGTTGAGGGTAGTGCTTGTGTTATTTGCTACTTGTTGAGGATAGTGCTTTTGTTCTTTGCGACCAGTACAGGAAAGTTGTCTGGTAAGGGCTGCTCGTCAGTTGGACCAGTTTAATTTAAAAGTTTTTCAAGTTTGGAATACCTACATAAAAAGTTGAAAATGCCAAGCATATTCTTACTCTTGATTATATTGTCACAATCACAACGTCTGAAATTGCCCCTCAGTGAACTTTGAAACAATAACAACCATACACTAGGTGTTTCAAGCAATGGGCATTTCCACATTTAATCTCTCTTCACGAGATAGAGAAATGGATTTTCAATGAAAATTACAGTGACCATCTCGTTACAAAAGAAAACAAGAAAAATTCGTCATGTACTATATTCGTTTTGACACTTCATATTAAATAATGCTAAGGTCTATTTCGTTTACGTAAAATAGTTGTATAGTCAGATTGCTCGTTGTTATGATATCAATGGGCAGATATGTTATGCATCATACATATCTTATGCATTATCTATTTTTTGGTGATTGGTGTCACATCCTAAATTGATGACCAGAAGAAAATTCATGGCATTGTCAGTCTATCAGGACAGCACAGATCAAGGCAAGATTTGTGTACAAACACTTTTAACTCTTAAATACCCCGGCTCTATCATACCTTCACACCCGTTTCTATTTTACAGAAATTCGTGGAAAAACCTGATGAAATGCCCATGCATATGAAATTCATCGTACCTCCTTTAACAGTACATTTCATTTTCATTATTATCATTAGAGTTATTAATGCTAATTGTGGAGTGAGTGAATATTGAATAGCATCATATTTTGCAATATTATTATTCATCCATATCATGATAACATCTGCAGCTAAACATGGTTTGCAATGGAAACAATAATAGCCTCAAACTTTCTTTCTTTTGTTACGGACAATAGAATAGTTCATATAATTCATGAAAGATACAAGGATATTTATCGAAAATGTTATACGCTCGTATGTTTCCCCAAAAGTAATTTTCATATAATTTTACTTTTGGGTATGTTGAAAGTAAAGGAGGCATCCCAAGAAGCACCTAAACTGAAAGAAAGTCTTTATCCGTGTTTGATGATGGATAAGTGAGTGAGTGAGTGAGTATGGTTTTACGCCGCTTTTAGCAATATTCCAGCAATATCACGGCGGGGGACGATGATGGATAAGAATGAAACAAACAAAGAATGGTTATAGAATGATTATGCATTTGATACGGGTAGCATAGTTTAAGACTTCAAGTATTCAGTGTTGTCAGCCTCGTATGATAAGGTTTGCAATTGTTTGGTCAAATCCAATTTTCAAGTGAATACTTTCTTTTGCCCTGTAGTTTATGACGAAGCAGTGAGGATCACATACGTGGTAACCAGTGTTTGGTTATTTGTAAACCTTTATAAAATATTGATATTCTCATATTTGTTTTTCTTCATGTACTCAAAGGCGAAAGAAATTATGATAATGTTTTTATGTTTCATATTGTCATAAAAAGAAGCAAATAACTCCACACTTTCCCGTTGTCTTCCAAGATTAACAGTGTACTGTAGTTTCAGTAGACTGAAGAAGGAAACAAAGGGTTATAATTATTTTAATAGAAACAAACAACAATTTCAAAAATATAATTCTTGCAATTTCTTCTTGCAATATTAATATCATTGGTTATCAATTTTACATTTATATCATCACAGTTACTTTTGTTTTTGAAGATAGAAATATTTAACGCCAACGTCAGAGAATAACAAGCCCCGGTCAAGTAAATTGCTATATAATAATATTATACAATGCACCTTCTTATACTTTCATTGATTTTAAAGACCCGTGAAGATCCGAGTTAGAGTAGATCTTCAGCAACCCATGCTTGTCGTAAGAGGCGACTAACGGGATCGGGTGGTCAGGTTCGCTGACTTGGTTGATGCATGTCATTGTATCCCAGTTATGTGGATAGATGCTCATTATATCAATCACTGGATTGTCTGGTCCAGTCTCGATTATTTACAGACCGCACATACAGCTGGAATGTTGCTGAGTGCGGCGTTAAACAACAAACAAACAAATTTATTCTAATTACAGTTTCAATTGAAACCCAGCACTGAATAAATAAACATTGAAAACGTCGAATAACACGCTTTATATTTCCTCACTGCTTCAATGGAGATCTATTTAACTGGAAGTCAAGGAGATGATCGACATTACATCGAGTTATCGGCTGTTCGACATAGCGTTTAAGACCATATCACCGCCAGTGTTCTGCCGGGACCTAAATCCTCTCTTCAATCGACATATCCACTTAAATGAGTTCGAATATACTAGATTTCCACATTCATGTGCACAACATGCATTTCATACAGACCCTCAAACCAAGAAAATATATCCGAAAACTCTCAAGCAAGTCTACAATTCTTTGCCAAGTCTAGATTTCTTCAGTTTCAGTTTCAGAAATTGAAGAAACACTCTGGGCTCCTTGTTACTATATTTAAACGACACATGAATAAAAGAAAATATTTATATTAATGATAGTCTAGTGTACAAATTTACCAAAGACTACACAAATCCATAATGGCATTTCTAAAGGAAGCGAATGTGGTTATTAGCCTAACAGAGATGTAATAATTATTCCATTTTGTCTGTGATTTTCTGGTGTTTTGTAAAACAAATTTCACAAATGTGGAATTAAATATTAGTCCACAGGGCTCCTAATTATGAGCACACCGTTGCCGTTCTATATGTCTACTTAAGCAAATTATTTACCAAATGCTGTTCTCACATTGCTGACTTCAGAAAGTTTGTTTTCAAATACACTGAGGACAATATCCGTGTCTAACTTCGTGCTAACACTTTATCGTCTTCCTATGTGTGTGTGTAGGGGGGGGGGGGGGGGGGGGGGAATTGTAAACTAATTTTTTAAATTAACGAGACTATGTATACGGTATGTATTGTGATGTAAGATCAATTAGTTAGCTAGTCGTCAAAACACGATTCAGATTAACGAATCATAAAGCGGATAAAGTTGGAAAATAACGAGAAATCATATATTTCTGCTAGACATGCGTAAAGAAGATTTAAAGTTAACTTACATATCACCAGACTTTCTCTTATTTTGACTGACTGTCAACTGAAAGCCAGTGGCTACGTGTTCCGTTATAAGCGGAAATTATGGCGAAATAGCGGGGAGTGGCGATAATACGGACCTTGTAATAGGCTACGTCATCAATCCTATGTTGATATTCTTCACACTTTTATTTATTTATTCTTATCCAAATAACTTTTATTCTGAATATTGATTTGCCACAAGTGCAGTGGGGCGTCAAAACCGCCCGACATGCCATTGTTGTGTGTGAGATTAGACTAGGCTCTTTTCTTATAGATACATGATGTTATTGCGCTTTTCTGGTTGCGCATTTTATCAAGGAAACTAGTTTGTAATGCGACGCTGTGACATTTGGTGCTGTGAGTGATGCAAGGGAGGTAACTCTTGGTCGTCAAAATCAACGCGACAGTCCAAGTTGATATCTAATTGGTTCGCCTGGTTAAAATAACTACAAACTTTAATATATTTCATGGTTTTCATGTCTTATTTTAATGTCACGCGTTGACAATGAAATGGATTGGATCCCAAGGAAATTAGTAAAAAATTATATGACTCATAATATTTTTATGTCTGCAATTGTCCGGTGATTTGTCATTGAAAATTGTGGGTGGATTAAAACATGAGACTTGGGGTATGGGTGGGATAAGTTTTGGGATGGGATAGAGTTTCAATGAATCATAATAGTTGACAGGGGTTTGAAAATACCCAATTGAGTGAGGGCTTGAGGTTGGTCGATTGTTTTTGCGGACGATTGTTCCAAAAACGTTGGATCGTTTTTTCGACAGGGCTTAAAACAGGGCTTGTTGTTTTTGTTAATGTGATTGCTTTAAAATATTTTTTTTTGTAATCGTATAAAATGATATTGGTTGGTAGAAAAAATAAATAAATGAAAAACAATGTTTGTTGCATGAAAATTCATACGACAGAACAGGCTTTGCGGGGGACAAAGATTGATATTTAATTCCACAATGTGTGAAACACCAGATTATCATGGACAAAACGGAATATTTACTTCGCTGTTAAGTCGATAACAAATCTCTCCATAATCACATTCAATCAACCGTATATTCATGAAGGTGGGGTGATATGGGGTTTAACGTCGCGTTCAAGATAATTGCACTTACATAGCGTGTGTGGTGAGGTGAAATGGGGATTAACGTTGCGTCCAAGATTATTGCACTTATATAGCGACGTGCATGCACGTGTTGTGTTTGTGTGGCTGCTTGTACTAGTCCGGACTGATGCCGATGTATAGTGCCAGCACACTGAGATACCATTCCGCAGCTTATACCGAACTCAGACACAGTATACTGCATCCGAGCCGACCAGTCCTTGTTTTAGCCCCTTAATGCCGAGCGCCAGGCAGGGTAACAGCAAGTACCATCTTTTAACGGCGTTTGGTATGATGAGCATAGATCTGTTAACGTTTCATTCGGAAAATGCCGTACATATCTGAAAAAAATACTGGGATCTAACCCCTGACATTCCTCCCGCTCTCCAGGCGGACGCTTTACCTCGAGATTGTGTGTGTGTGTGTGTGTGTGTGTGTGTGTGTGTGTGTGTGTGTGTGTGTGTGTGTGTGTGTGTGTGTGTGTGTCTGTGTGTGTGTGTCTGTGTGTGTGTCTCTCTGTGTGTGTGTCTGTGTGAGAGAGAGATCGAGAGATCGTTTAGCGCAAATAATGCAACACAAGCCCCGCCCATTCTATAATCAGCCAATCAGGAAACAGTAGTACGTTAGGGGTCGCGGCCAAGCTCGTTTAGCCAATCAAATGACACGGAAGCAATCGCATTTATTGCATTTCATCATAAACATTTACTGATGTAAATGCGTATGATAAATACTGATGACACTGATGTGTTGGTATGACTACATTTACCGGTTTCTCCAGATACTGCAGGCAGATAGTTGTTGATTTCTGTTGTTGGCTTTAACAGATAAACATACAATCATATTTCTTTCATACCTGTGGTTGAGAAACCCATTTGAGATAACTGGTATCAAACATATGTGTGAGATTGAATTAAAGGTCAAATTATGATGGACTACTTTCCTGATTGTAATTCATCGATACGCCTCAGTCGAAATCACCTACGCCTGTGTCGAAATTTTATGGTTTTAGAGTGTTAATAATGTTCTTTGGTGTTTCCCTGCTTCCACTATTACCACCGCCTTGATAATCTAATGATATGGCGGAACTATTTTTATTGTGGAGGGTCACAGAAGGTATGGGTGGTAAGCGGTAGGCCGGATGAAGTCACAAATGACCGTTGCGTTATGTATTAATGCGCCAGTGTGGTCATGAGAATAGACACAATACGAATGGATTAGATGCTCAAATTTTACGATATTAGGGTGTCTAAGACACAGATTACTCTACTCGTTAGATATGTATTGAAACAACTCGTTGTTCGATACTTGGTATCTGACAGACATGCGTTGTTATGTCTATTTTTAACAATTACTATCTCATATTGGACACGTGATGCCTGCCCTTGAACATCGCTGTTATCAATTTCATGGTCGTTATTCATATCGTTAAGAATACACAACAGTCGCTACACCCAGGGAATGTCCAGGACACCAACGATTCACTGCAACTAGCAACGACAGAGTCTCTGAGGGGTACCACGTGCAGTAAGAGTGTCCTATGCAATCAGTCAATCTCTAAAAGCACTGAGCTTCCATGCAGCCGGAGAGTCAAAACCAAGTTAGTCCCCAAATACAACCAGAGTGTCTCTAACACCAGGGAGTCCTCATGCAGCCAGAGTGTCTCTAACACCAGGGAGTCCCCATTCAACCAGAGTGTCTCTATCACCAGGGAGTCCACATTCGACCAGAGAGTATCTAACACCAGGGAGTCCCCATGCAACCAGAGCGTCTCCAACGCCAGGGACTCCCCATGCAACCAGAGCGTCTCCAACACCAGGGAGTCCCCATGCAACCAGAGAGACTCTAACACCAGGGAGTCCCCATGCAACAAGAGTGTCTCTATCACCAGGGAGTCCCCATGCTACCAGAGTGTCTCTAACACCAGGGAGTCCACATTCGACCAGAGAGTATCTTACACCAGGGAGTCCCCATGCAACCGGAGCGTCTTCAACACCAGGAAGTCCCCATGCAACAAGAGTGTCTCTTTCACCAGGGAGTACTCATGCTACCAGAGAGTCTCTAAAACCAGGGAGTCCCCATGCTACCAGAGCGTCTCCAACACCAGGGACTCCCCATGCAACCAGAGTGTCTCTAACACCAGGGAGTCCCCATTCAACCAGAGTGTCTCTATCACCAGGGAGTCCACATTCAACCAGAGAGTATCTTACACCAGGGAGTCCCCATGCAGCCAGAGTGTCTCTATCACCAGGGAGTCCCCATACAATCAGAGTGTCTCTAACACCAGGGAGTCCCCATGCAATCAGAGTGTCTCTAACACCAGGGAGTCCCCATGCAACAAGAGTTTCTCTAACACCAGGGACTCCCCATGCAACAAGAGTGTCTCTAACACCAGGGAGTCCCCATACAACCAGAGAGTCTCTATCACCAGGGAGTCCCCATACAACCAGAGCGTCTCCAACACCAGGGAGTCCCCATTCAACCAGAGTGTCTCTATCACCAGGGAGTCCACATTCGACCAGAGAGTATCTTACACCAGGGAGTCCCCATGCAACCAGAGCGTCTCCAACACCAGGGAGTCCCCATGCTACCAGATAGACTCTAACATCAGGGAGTCCCCATGCAACCAGAGTGTCTCTATCACCAGGGAGTCCCCATTCAACCAGAGTGTCTCTATCACCAGGGAGTCCACATTCGACCAGTGAGTATCTAACACCAGGGAGTCCACATGCAACCAGAGCTTCTCCAACACCAGGGAGTCCACATGCAACAAGAGTATCTCTATCCCCAGGGAGTCCCCATGCTCCCAGAGAGTCTCTAAAACCAGGGAGTCCCCATGCTACCCGCGAGTCTCCAACACCAGGGACTCCCCATACAACCAGAGTGTCTCCAACACCAGGGAGTCCCCATGCAACAAGAGTGTCTCTGTCACCAGGGAGTCCCCATGCAACCAGAGCGTCTCTAACACCAGGGAGTCCCCATGCAACAAGAGTGTCTCTAACACCAGGGAGTCCCCATGCAACAAGAGTGTCTCTGTCACCAGGGAGTCCCCATGCAACAAGAGAGTCTCTAACACCAGGGAGTCCCCATGCAACAAGAGTGTCTCTAACACCAGGGAGTCCCCATGCAACAAGAGTGTCTCTAACACCAGGGAGTCCCCATGCAACAAGAGTGTCTCTAACACCAGGGAGTCCCCATACAACAAGAGTGTCTCTAACACCAGGGAGTCCCCATGCAACAAGAGTGTCTCTAACACCAGGGAGTCCCCATGCAACAAGAGTGTCTCTAACACCAGGGAGTCCCCATGCAACAAGAGTGTCTCTAACACCAGGGAGTCCCCATGCAACAAGAGTGTCTCTAACACCAGGGAGTCCCCATACAATCAGAGTGTCTCTAACACCAGGGAGTCCCAATACAATCAGAGTGTCTCTAACACCGGGGTGTCCCCATACAACAAGAGTGTCTCTAACACCAGGGAGTCCCCATACAATCAGAGTGTCTCTAACACCAGGGAGTCCCCATACAATCAGAGTGTCTCTAACACCAGGGAGTCCCCATACAACCAGAGTGTCTCTAACACCAGGGAGTCCCCATACAACCAGAGTGTCTCTATCACCAGGGAGTCCACATGCAACCAGAGAGTATCTAACACCAGGGAGTCCCCATGCAACCGGAGCGTCTTCAACACCAGGAAGTCCCCATGCAACAAGAGTGTCTCTATCACCAGGGAGTACTCATGCTACCAGAGAGTCTCTAAAACCAGGGAGTCCCCATGCTACCAGAGCGTCTCCAACACCAGGGACTCCCCATGCAACCAGAGTGTCTCTAACACCAGGGAGTCCCCATTCAACCAGAGCGTCTCCAACACCAGGGAGTCCCCATGCAACCAGAGTGTCTCTATCACCAGGGAGTCCACATTCGACCAGAGAGTATCTTACACCAGGGAGTCCCCATGCAACCAGAGCGTCTCCAACACCAGGGAGTCCCCATGCTACCAGATAGACTCTAACATCAGGGAGTCCCCATGCAACCAGAGTGTCTCTATCACCAGGGAGTCCCCATTCAACCAGAGTGTCTCTATCACCAGGGAGTCCACATTCGACCAGTGAGTATCTAACACCAGGGAGTCCACATGCAACCAGAGCTTCTCCAACACCAGGGAGTCCACATGCAACAAGAGTGTCTCTATCCCCAGGGAGTCCCCATGCTCCCAGAGAGTCTCTAAAACCAGGGAGTCCCCATGCTACCAGAGAGTCTCCAACACCAGGGACTCCCCATACAACCAGAGTGTCTCCAACACCAGGGAGTCCCCATGCAAACAAGAGTGTCTCTGTCACCAGGGAGTCCCCATGCAACCAGAGTGTCTCTAACACCAGGGAGTCCTCATGCAACAAGAGTGTCTCTTACACCAGGGAGTCCCTATGCAACAAGAGAGTCTCTAACACCAGGGAGTCCCCATGCAACAAGAGTGTCTCTAACACCAGGGAGTCCCCATGCAACAAGAGTCTCTCTAACACCAGGGAGTCCCCATGCAACAAGAGTGTCTCTAACACCAGGGAGTCCCCATGCAACAAGAGTGTCTCTATCACCAGGGAGTCCCCATTCAACCAGAGTGTCTCTATCACCAGGGAGTCCACATTCGACCAGTGAGTATCTAACACCAGGGAGTCCACATGCAACCAGAGCTTCTCCAACACCAGGGAGTCCACATGCAACAAGAGTGTCTCTATCCCCAGGGAGTCCCCATGCTCCCAGAGAGTCTCTAAAACCAGGGAGTCCACATGCTACCAGAGAGTCTCCAACACCAGGGACTCCACATACAACCAGAGTGTCTCTGCCACCAGGGAGTCCCCATGCAACCAGAGTGTCTCTAACACCAGGGAGTCCCCATGCAACAAGAGTGTCTCTTACACCAGGGAGTCCCCATGCAACAAGAGAGTCTCTAACACCAGGGAGTCCCCATGCAACAAGAGTGTCTCTAACACCAGGGAGTCCCCATGCAACAAGAGTGTCTCTAACACCAGGGAGTCCCCATGCAACAAGAGTGTCTCTAACACCAGGGAGTCCCCATGCAACAAGAGTGTCTCTAACACCAGGGAGTCCCCATGCAACAAGAGTGTCTCTAACACCAGGGAGTCCCCATTCAACAAGAGTGTCTCTAACACCAGGGAGTCCCCATGCAACAAGAGTGTCTCTAACACCAGGGAGTCCCCATACAATCAGAGTGTCTCTAACACCAGGGAGTCCCCATACAATCAGAGTGTCTCTAACACCGGGGTGTCCCCATACAACCAGAGTGTCTCTAACACCAGGGAGTCCCCATACAATCAGAGTGTCTCTAACACCAGGGAGTCCCCATACAATCAGAGCGTCTCTAACACCAGGGAGTCCCCATACAACCAGAGTGTCTCTATCACCAGGGAGTCCCCATACAACCAGAGTGTCTCTATCACCAGGGAGTCCACATTCGACCAGAGAGTATCTAACACCAGGGAGTCCACATGCAACCAGAGCTTCTCCAACACCAGGGAGTCCACATGCAACAAGAGTGTCTCTATCCCCAGGGAGTCCCCATGCAACAAGAGTGTCTCTAACACCAGGGAGTCCCCATGCAACAAGAGTGTCTCTAACACCAGGGAGTCCCCATACAACAAGAGTGTCTCTAACACCAGGGAGTCCCAATGTAACAAGAGTGTCTCTAACACCAGGGAGTCCCTATGCAACAAGAGTGTCTCTAACACCAGGGAGTCCCCATGCAACAAGAGTGTCTCTAACACCAGGGAGTCCCCATGCAACAAGAGTGTCTCTAACACCAGGGAGTCCCCATTCAACAAGAGTGTCTCTATCACCAGGGAGTCCCTATGCGACCAGAGTATCTCTAACACCAGGGAGTCCCCATACAATCAGAGTGTCTCTAACACCAGGGAGTCCTCATGCAGTCAGAGTGTCTCTATCACCAGGGAGTCCCCATACAATCAGAGTGTCTCTAACACCAGGGAGTCCTCATGCAGCCAGAGTGTCTCTAACACCAGGGAGTCCCCATACAACCAGAGTGTCTCTATCACCAGGGAGTCCCCATACAACCAGAGTGTCTCTATCACCAGGGAGTCCTCATGCAACCAGAGAGTCTCAAACACCAGGGAGTCCCCATACAATCAGAGTGTCTCTAACACCGGGGTGTCCCCATGCAACCAGAGTGTCTCTAACACCAAGAAGTCTATAAACACCTTTAGAGATCAGTAATTGACTTACTTGACACGGGCACTCCACTAGGCAAGTTCGTCAACAAGTACAGTGAATTCTAAGGTCATACTGCACGTGTCCTTGGGACCGGAGAATGCTATTCTTGTCCTAACGTAATGCTATTAACAACTAACCTATGGGTCTAGTCGTATTTGATTATTGCACAGTTATAAGGATTGCTTCAATTTGACCACAAAAAACACACAAAAAATACTGCAGAGGAAATGGACTCCAAAGAGCATAGTAAATAAATCAACAACAAAAACTTCCTTGTCTCGAAAGAGTCAACAAGCGAACGGAATTCATAGATTGCAATCTCAGCTAGCATGTCACAAGGTGCAGGGCTCCCATTATCTGGTGACGTATTCACCTCCATGTGCAAAAAAGTACTGATACAGGCTACAAGGTATGGGCGTATTTATTGTAATCCTTTTGTTAATCATAATTATAATGTAATATTATCTGTGATCCCCGACAGTTGACATTTATACTTTCAAATACATGATCTCATTAACTGACCTTCACTTTAAAAGGTCGTTTTATTATGTTTGTGATTCAAGGTATTTGCAACTTGGTGTCATATTTCCCGTTCAGGCTAACACTTGCCTCTGCCTTGTGTTTGTGCTGGGTGCCATCGCAGGACAGGATACGCTCACCTTTTCGCGAATAGCTGGTGTCATCACTATTTGATAGTGACTCAAATACACATGATTGTGATATAGTTGGAATGGTACAACGGACGCTTTTGGCTAAGATTTCTTATGATTATGGTTATGATTATGATTATTTGATTGGACATAGAGACATGACATTTTAACGTAAGACATCCTCTTACTTGTTATTTTCATGACGTTTTCAGGCTACGTCCTGTCCTTCATCAATTCATTTCTTGATATATCATGAAATTATGATGTTCGTTATAATTTGTCAAGACTATCACATGTATTGTATGGTCGTCGTAATTGTTACATTGTTTTAGTTCTCGTGCAAGTTACATATTTGATTGTGTGTCGACATATGACTAATGTGACAAAAATTAAATAATATTTATTAAATATAATTAATACATAATTGGGACATTTTGTCGGTAACGGATTCAAGACGAACCATCTGTTTTGACCAACAACGCATAGATCCCTTACAGTACATAGTATACGACGATAGTACGTTTTCAAACATTACTACGCAGTTCATGTACCGTGAGAGTAATAACATTTGTCTTGAATCATTAAAGATGTTTAACAATAAAACATGCTTTCTATATTTCCCATAAGCAGGGGTGGTCTTCTCGGTCTTTTTCAAATATAGAGAGTACTTAATGTATGTGGGAAGGTACGTAAGTCCGGTATCCTTCAACGTATCATTTCATTTCTCTGTGATTTTAATCGTAGTATTTTTGTTGATTTTAACTCTTTGGCTAATCTTTCTGATCATCGCCAGTGGCTGGTGGATGGTGTACATCCTGCTGGGGTACCATGTAGGTAGCAGAAGTACCGTAAGTCCCCATGGTCCCTAGTATGGTGGCCTAATTTTGGTTGCTGGCGATCTACAGCCCCTTTTGTATATTGTGTCGTCTGTTATAATCTGATTATTTTATTATTCTATGACTAGTTTTACAATTATAATCTGTAATATTTTGCTAGTTGTTGTACTGTCCTTCGACGACAGGTCCTAATATATTATATAAATACATAACTTGCTCAAGTCACGATATGACTGAAATAATGCCGCTGTGACTTTAAATTTTAACTCACTCACTCACTCACTTAATGTATGTTTATTATTATATGATACTGCCATGTACGTCCATATTGTTTAGATTTTTATTGATGAAGTATCTCTCTTGTGTAATGTTTCACTGTCGGAGATGAAGGTAAATATATTTGCAAAAGTTTAGTTGTCATATAATGTTTGTTATGTCACATAATTATAAGATAATGACAAAAGTATTCGATATGTGTTGTTCACAATCCTTTGGGATAAGCACCAAGGAAATGTGGGTTCTCGAACATATAACCAGATTTCTAAAATGGTACTTGTATCAATGCAAGTGTGGCGTCTGAACCTGACATGCTGCAATTGTTGTTCCGAAACATCAAACTGCGTTAATGTGGGGACTGTAAATAAAAACGCCAACAACTTTTCCATAAGTTATTTAGGGAGAAATGGGGACAGAAAACTATTTAATGAGAAAACAATCTAAACATCGTGCTTAATATAATATTTACATTTTGAAACCTCGTTATGTTAGAGTCCAAGACATTGAATTTATATCGAAATATCAAATTTTAACGATGACAATAATGTGTATACACGGGTTTAAAGTAAATGTATTTAGCAGTATGTAAGATTACATTTTTAATGGGTCAGAAACAAATTTTGATTTTAAGGTCTTGATTTTTACGCTGTGAGTTTGCGATAATACATGAAGAGTCATAACTATGCAAACTATAGAAAAGAATCTATAGCTGTAGAAACTCTCAGTTGATCTTATGATATGTTTGATTTCCAATTGAAAATATCATAAGTTAGCGATATTATATCCAAAAAATGAACCTACTGGCGCTTAGCCAGCACTCAAAGAATACTTCTACGTGTTTTTATTTTTTTTAATATAATTTAATTTAAAACGTTTTCAAAATTAGAAAATATTATTATACCCAACTGCTGATGAGTTTCTTAGACATCTTATCTTTGAAAATCAATACATTTGCACTTTGGGGTGAACATGTAAAAACACTCGTGAAACAAGTAGAATCATAAATCATCAACAATATCCCTAGATCAGACAGTTATGAATGTCTAGATCTGGGTCGCTCCTGTCCGTGTTGAAACTTGTTTAAAGGACATGTCTTCATTATCAAACCATTCCTAAAGATTTGGTATATGTTTTAGAAAAGTGCCCCTTGTATACATATTTTAGGGAATATCTTTTCGAGAAGGATGTTACATCTTGGAGTACTTTTATTCATGTTACGGTTGTAGAGAAAGTGTTCCATATTTCATCATGCATGGTCTTGGATAAAATTTCAGCGAAAACCCCCACTCATATCTTGGACAGACGGATCAATATCATGGATAATGTCACTTAAATTTTTTTATTTATCTTTACACTTTTTATTTAAATTTAATTTTCTATTTACATGTTGTAATATGTTTCTTTGTAAATGATTTTTTTATGTGTTTATTGCAGTTGCCACCGGTGGGGCAGAATAACTCACACTTTTTCGCGAACACCCGGTATCATCACCATTTGAAACGCATGTCCATTATGGAGTCGGAATCGTACAATCGACTCTGCTTTCAACAAGGATTTCTTATGATTATGGAACGAATTGTGTAGCTTGTATCTGTCTTATCGTAACAGGGGCGATCGGGTAGCCTAGTGGTTTAAGCGTTCGGTCGTCACGCCGACGACCCGGGTTCGATTCCGACATGGGTACAATGTGTCCGTGATATTGCTGGAATATTGCTAAAAGCGGCGTAAAAACCATACTCACTCACTCACTCTTTTCGTAACTCCGTATGAAATGGCTCAGGTTTTGTTAAACGCGTGTAACCGTGTATTAGACGAGTGTTAATGAATATGTTTAGAGATTACAGATTGGTTCAGAAAAACGCAAAAATATACCGGTCACTTTCATACAAATATTTCAAATTCATATTTCCAGTGTGTTCAAAAGAACTCTCATCCTACGTCTTCTTTCTTCAGTTCTGTCAACACATCTTTGGCGCATTGAGAGGAGGGGTTATAAATATGATACCTGGCCAAATGTTGATACACCAGAAAGAAGGAGATTGAGGAAAATATTTGACTGCTTCTGTTCAATAACTATTCTGTAACCAGCGGGTTATAGAACAATTAGACTTAATGTGTTTAAATTTTTCACGATTAAAAACATCAGACATGCTACTCAAAAATATTTTAAGAACATCCGAATTTTTCACATGACTCGCGAAAGCGATGTTTCAGAAATCCATTGGTGTCTGACAAATTCGTTGAGAGAAAGAAATATAGAATCAGGGGGTATATGAATTAAAGCGACAAAGCCATTTCCATAATCATAAGAAATCTCTTCTAAAAGCAGAGCCCATGTTCAGGAATAATACAAATTGATATTCCCTGATAATACATATTCCCTTTTACATGTACACGTTTAAGTAGGTACAATGTATCTGATAACAATTGTCGCTACATCCCACTGTTGATACCATACGCGATTGGACAAAGTGTCGTAGTATGGAAACTTGGATCTCGAAGTGTAGTATTAATCGTCACCGTATTCAACGTTGCAGAATGTACAAGAAGGCTGTGGAGAAGTTTGTGGCGTTGAAAATCTTCAGTCTCATCCGTGATGACGATGTCGTGGATCAGCTGCATCACCGGATGCTGGTGATAGTGATGGTCATCATGGCCGGCTTCTTCAGCGCTAAAACAAAATGGGGCTCCATCGACTGTTGGGTAAGTTTGGGTCACATCATACGAGATATTCAAGATATATGTGTCGATACCGCGAAACCCAGATGAGGCTTTTAGGGACTCATCATTTATTATAGGGGAGGTGAAAAAAGATGACACAGCGAAAGATGGAGGGATCGGCAACATTTATTATATATTTAGGGAGTTGTCAGCGAAATATGATACCGTCCTAAGACCGATCTCAATGGTCCTAAGACCAATACAATCCGATCTCGGCAATGTCGGACAAGGTCATTTTATGAACAGGGGGGTTCAGTTTGGTATATCGAATACTCACAACAACATCATGACAGTGAAAATTATTTTATAATTACATGAATGTATAATCTCAAACGTAATTCATTAAGCATTGACATGTCTCGCCCAATTTTGGATGCTTCCGTTCGGCCCAACTACATCGAAAGGGAACAACTCACTACCATTTCAAAAATAGCATCGTCCAATTAACGACGTCATTAAGTTGCGAGCGTAATACAATGTTTGAATCTCCAGAATTGACGTCGAATTAGAAAAAAGTTTA